CATGAATGATAACAAGATGCAGCCCATCATCCAATGGAACACCATGCAGTCATGAAAAGGATAGAGGAATTCACACCTGCTACAGCCTGGATGGACTGAGAGCAGTCAGTCACAGAAGACTGTATCCTGTAGGAAACGTCCAAACACACAAAGCTAGAGATAGGTGGTAGCTTACAGTCGCCTGCGGCTTGGAGAGGGGAAGTGAGGGACGGGAGCCGACGGGTAGGGCTTCCTCTACGGGAGGAAGAAAAGTTCCATGATTAAACGCGGGGACAGCTGCACAGCTCTGAGGACATCCTGAGAACCACTGAACTCACACGGCGATGACACTCCACTGAAACATCCGGTGATGGCCCTTGGTTGTCAGGTCCAGGGGGGCTGCATCGGAGGCAGCGGGAGGCCTTCCTACTGCAGCAACATCGCCTTGGACGCTTGGCTTCCTGACAGAAAACGCCTACGGGCTAGAGAGTCCGCTGGAACTCATTTTGTAAATCATTCTTTCATTATGTAGGCAATACAGTCCACCCGCTCCAGGAAAACACCTCGTACCCCAACAAACTGGATGGATTCCAGGCTTCCCCTTGGCTTGCGCCATCCACTCTGCCAGAGTTTCCTCTCCTGACCTCTTCCTTTGCCCAAATCAACTCATCAACCCCAGAACACCTCCTCCCGGCAGCCCTCAGAACCCCTCAGCCGCTGGGGAGGTTGGGGTGAGCAAGGCACTCTGGGCCTGGCTGACCTTCCCGTGTCTGGACCCGGCTGACCTTCCCATGGTCACTCTGAACCTAGCTGACCTTCCCGTGTCTGGACCTGGCTGACCTTCCCATGGTCACTCTGGACGTGGCTGACCTTCCCGTGTCTGCACCTGGCTGACCTTCCTGTGGTCACTGTGGACCTGGCTGACCTTCCCGTGGTCACTCTGCACATGGCTGACCTTGCCACGGTCACTCTGGACCTGGATGACCTTCCCGCGGTCACTCTGGACCTGGCTGACCTTCCCGTGGTCACTCTGGACCTGCTGACCTTCCCATGGTCACTCTGGACCTGGATGACCTTCCCATGGTCACTCTGGACCTGGATGACCTTCCCGCAGTCACTCTGAACCTGCTGACTTTCCCATGGTCACTCTGGACCTGGATGACCTTCCCGCGGTCACTCTGGACCTGGCTGACCTTCCCGTGGTCACTCTGGACCTGCTGACCTTCCCATGGTAACTCTGGACCTGGCTGACCTTCCCGCGGTCACTCTGGACCTGGATGACCTTCCCACGGTCACTCTGGACCTGGATGACCTTCCCATGGTCACTTTGGACCTGGATGACCTTCCCACGGTTACTGTGGACCTGGATGACCTTCCCATGGTCACTCTGGACATGGATGACCTTCCCGCAGTCACTCTGGACATGGCTGACCTTCCCATAGTCACTCTGGACCTGGCTGACCTTCCCGCGGTCACTCTGGACCTAGATGACCTTCCCACGGTCACTCTGGACCTGGCTGACCTTCCCATGGTCACTCTGGACCTGGATGACCTTCCCACGGTCACTCTGGACCTGGATGACATTCCCATGGTCACTCTGGACATGGCTGACCTTCCCACGGTCACTTGGACCTGGATGACCTTCCCATGGTCACTCTGGACCTGGATGACCTTCCCATGGTCACTCTGGACCTGGATGACCTTCCCATGGTGACTCTGGACCTGCTGACCTTCCCGTGGTCATTCTGGACCTGGCTAACCTTCCCACGGTCACTCTGAACCTGCTGACCTTACCAAGGTCACTCTGGACATGGCTGACCTTCCCGTGGTCATTCTGGACCTGGTTGAGCTTCTCGTGGTCACTCTGGACCTGGCTAACCTTCCCACGGTCACTCTGGACCTGGCTGACCTTCCCACGGTCACTCTGGACCTGGCTGACCTTCCCGTGGTCACTCTGGACCTGGATGACCTTCCCACGGTCACTCTGGACCTGGATGACCTTCCCATGGTCACTCTGGACATGGCTGACCTTCCCGCAGTCACTCTGGACATGGCTGACCTTCCCGTGGTCACTCTGGACCTGGTTGACCTTCTCGTGGTCACTCTGGACCTGGCTAACCTTCCCATGGTAACTCTGGACCTGGCTAACCTTCCCACGGTCACTCTGGACCTGGCTGACCTTCCCATAGTCACTCTGGACCTGGTTGACCTTCCCATGGTCACTCTGGACCTGGCTGACCTTCCCGCGGTCACTCTGGACCTGGCTACCTTCCCATGGTCACTCTGGACCTGGATGACCTTCCCATGGTCACTCTGGACCTGGCTGACCTTCCCGTGGTCACTCTGGACCTGCTGACCTTCCCATGGTCACTCTGGACCTGGATGACCTTCCCATGGTCACTCTGGACCTAGCTGACCCTCCCGTGGACCCGTGGGTCTCTGCACACAAGCAGAGTCGCTGCAGGCAGGGAGCGAGCCTTACACCTGCGATCCCATGCCTGGCAAGAAGTGCAAACAGCAGCAAGAGGAAAGGCTGAGGTTAAAGGTTAAGGACTCCTAGGATGATGCCAGCGCTAATGAGAAGCAGGACGGCACTCCTTCTGATAAGGTCAACTGAGCCACGTGCCCCGACTGGGCACCTGTTCCTCTCCTGCTTTGTTACTGCAGCAGAGGACACGAATGCCACTCGGCACAGGAAGTGTCCACACCACCCCTGACCTCAGGGGACACAGCCCATGCCCACAGCTTTCCTTCAGATGGTGTGTGAGGGCCCAGGGCACATGGCAAGAACAGCATGGCTGACATTAATATTAATGATGACCACCACATGGGGCAGTGACAAGGACGTGACCTGAACTCTGTCCCTTACCCGTGGTGACCACGGACAGGTGAACAAATGACTCTGAAACGCAGGCGCCTACTGTACCCAGTGGAGGAGATAATCCCCAACGTCAAGACCACCCCAGACGACACCCAGCCCGGCCACAGAACCAAGCCAGCAACCGGTCCTCTCTCCGACACACACCCCTCCCCTGGCTGTGGGGCACATTGCCAAGTGCTGACCCTGGTAAGGTGAGTCTCTCCGCAGGGGGACTCACAGCCAGAGTACAGTGCAAAGACACTTCTTCAAGTGCCCCTTCCTCAATAACAGCACAAAGCAGGGTCAAGGGCTCAGCAGGTGCCTGCTGCTCTGCCAGGGCCCGGGACACAGGGGTGTGGCCGTGGCCAGGAGCCTGAGCACCAGCCTCCAGGGAAGGAGAGGCTGGGCTGGGCCAGGAGTCCGTCGGCTCAGACACTGAGCAGGCACCGTCTGAGTGTGAGCAAGGAAGGGTCCAGAAGCTGAAGCTCACTGACAGCCTGCCTGGTCTTATCATCCACTCGCCTGGCTTCAGAGCAACGCGTTTCCTAAGGACAAGCGGAATAAACAACACAACGGTGGCCCCTCAGGCTGACTGCACGCCGGGCACTGTTCCAGGACCTTTGCACACGTTCCCTCTCCACTCCTCACCTGAGGACGGGTCAGCCGAGGCACAGAGTGGCTACGCGGTGCATCCCTAGGCTGGACAAAGCAGAGGAAACGGGGCGGCCAGGGTTACAGCCTGGCAGTCTTTCCGGGCTCCTGCCAAGGCTCCTCCAGAAACCTGTTGTCATGGGGGCCTCCTCACTCATGCACCTGCTGGAGCCCCCAGCAAAGTCACCCTGAGGAACTCTGCCACCCCAGACCCTCTGCCCGAAGGAAATGACCAGAAACAGCGCCAACCTCCCAGGAATTCCACGGGAGTGACGGACTAACTGCTCGTGCTGAGAGCGGTGGGCTGTGGTGAACAGCTGGCACACACGCTCAGCTGTGCAACAGGCGCAGCACTCCATGTTAACCTCTCCATAACCACAGATCTATATGCACACACACACACACCTATGTGTCTACATGCGCACAGATGCATACAAATAGCATGCATATATACACGTACTGTAAATATATGCGTGATATATGTGTACATGGACACGGGATGGATTTTTTTAATAGACATGGTTTACAGAAGGCTTCTACTTGTCCTTGAGCCCAAGGCCACGGAGCCTGTGAGAGAGCTGGAGACAGTGTTGCAGTCCAGGATCTTACCCCCAACCCTGGGCTCTGACCGCCCATACACCCAAGCACCCTGGCTTCACGGTCTACAGACAAACAGCCGCGGTGTCAGCCGTGTTCATGCCGGAAAACTATGGCAGCATAGCGACTTTCTGAGGCCTCATTTTGAGCTTCGTGCTGCATTAAAAGGGATGCAATTAAACAGAACTGCACCTGGGGCCAGGTGCGCCTCCTTCATCACCGTAAGGAGTCTCAAATGGCTCTCAGGTGTCAGCCTCTTGAGTCAGATAGAATTAGCAAAAATAAACAGCGATTCATTGTGCTTCAAGCTCTCCCACCAAAGAACTCAGCAAACACAACATCATGAATATTCACGGCACCCTGAACCCGCAAGGCATTTTTAAAATAAAAGCACCTCACGGCCACTCCTTCTCTGAGAGCTTGCAATATGTGACGGAAGGAAGCCCCAACGCTGGTTGTCCACACTCCCTGTGCTCTTCCTAGCAGCCCAACACTGTTCCTCGCACTTCAAGGCATTATCTAAATTAACCCCCCAACAACTTCCAGTGGCAGCGGTTACTATTATCCCTGTCTCGATGAAGCCTTTCAGTCGGCATCTAGGAAACCCTCGCTCCCTCCCTACTCCGTTCTTTCTTCTGTGGGCTCCCTCTGACGCTGAGACATGTGCACAGAAAGCAATTTGTTCAACCTCATCTCTTTTTGCAACGGATTAGAGGCTCTCGCTGAGACAGGGCCGGGGGAGCAGCTGTGTGCAAAGTGGAGCGCTGCTGACTGGGGTGGCCCTGCCTACGTTTTCGAGGCCAGATGCTCGGGCACGGATGACCGGCAGCAGGCACACCTGCGTTAGGCATAAACGTGAGAAAGCAATGCGCACCCAGGGGAGACGGGGCTGCCGCTCGGGCGGGCTACTTACCAGCTCTGTGTGAACTTTAAGATGTGCCTGCAGCTTATATTTATCTGGAGTCGAGTAGTCACAGCCGTCAGTGGGACACTTCAGCAAGATGTTACTGTGTTTCTGAATTACATGGCGTTTAAGGCAGTTTTTGGTGATGGAGGAATAATGACACTGGGAGCAATAATACAGATGTTCCCGGGTGTGGGTGCGGACATGCATGTCAAAATGCACTTGGTACCAAAAAAGTTTGCCTAAAAAAATATTTTCACATGAGAACAAGGAAGTTTCTTTCATACCGAATTTGAATTTTTTTTTAAATTACTATTATTTTTTTAAACTACCATATTTAGTTCCTCTCTGGCTTGTCTCCAAGTCACTCTTCACACTTTCCACCACATTTCTGTCTGGACATTACTTTTCAGAGTAAGGGTGCTACTACCTTCTGCATGATGCCAGCGCTGAGAGAGGAGGAGGAAACAAGTGCTTATCGAGGACCAAGTATGGTGCCAAACGCTACGATGCACATGCACAAACCCTGTGAGGCGCCTGGGCACTGGGGCTGCAGCTGGGCTCCCTACTGCCGCAGCACCAGCCCCCGCCGGAGACCCAGGAGCCAGCATTTCACCGTGAGCGGGAGGGAGGGTGCCATCCGGGGCCTCCCGGCAGAGAGCTCCAGCCACTCACGTACCTCTCCCTCCTCGGCTAGAACGCGGCCACACGTGAAAGCTGACTCGACACTCGTCATGAGCTGGAAGATCCTTCCTGGTCAGGGTTCCTGTCGAGGTCGTGCAGTAACCTCAGCAGGCACACCTGACCAACCCAACATGGGCAGCTGTGTGGACACCTCGGCTGCCCCCACAGGGACTCCAGGTGCTAACTGCAGCCCTATCTGCCGTGGAAGGGGGGGCTCATTTACAGTGTTCCCTGCAGAGAGACAGAGCTCAAATAGAACACGAGGTGACCACGGCATGACAGGACGGAGGGGCTGCTGGGAAGGAGCCTGCTGCTCGGCCGCACCGCCGGTGCTACCCTTCCTTACCACAGTATTCACACTCCAGGTCTCCGTACACCTTCCGGATCCGCTCGCACAAACCGGTGTTCATCTGCTTCTTCTGCAAACTGTCCAGGACCTTCATGAACGCAGTACTACCAGGCCTGTGCTCAGAGGCAGGTTTGCAAGAGTCAGGCTGGCACACGGCCGTGTCCCCACCACCAGCTGCGGGGGGAAGGAGTTCAGAGGCTTCGGCTGGGTTTGCCCTGAGACACTGGCTAGGCTCTGGCTCGCCGGCTGCAAGGGCAGCCGTTCCCTGCCCTCCACCTGGTGGGCTCTCTGCACCCGGGGTCTCCTGGTCCGGCCCGGCACTTTTGGCCTGGGACAGCAGCAGTGCCATCTCCTTGTCCTGAGTCTGGGCTGAGCCTCCGTGCTGGGAGTCGGAGGCCTTCTCGGGGGCAGTGTGAGTCTCCGCAGAGGAGGTATCGTTCTTCAACAGAAAGTCATCGGAGACCACGGTCAGCGCGTGCAGGTCCGACGAGACCACAGTGGTCTCCAGTTCGCAGGGTGGCAAGGCCGTGCCGTCGGCCGCGGGGGTGGCCAGCTGCACGGTGGCGGCAGGGGTTTGCAGGGGGGCCTCCAGCTCCGTCTGCACCCCCCCAGGCCGGGCCTCCTGGGAGCAGGCCTCCTCCTTGAGCGCACTCCCCCCCGGGAACACAAGCTCCTCCTCGGCCAGCTGCAGCTGGTCCCCCAGGGCTTCCTGCTGGATGTCCCCGCCGGGCTCCAGGAGGCAGAAGCTCTGGTTGATGGAGCTGGTGAAGACCAGGGCCTCCTGGGCAGCGCCGTGCGTCTCTCTGATGTGGGAGCGCAGCCTGATGGAGCTGACGAACTTCTTGAGGCAGATGGCGCAGACGTAGACGAAGGGGTGCTTCCTGACGTGCAGCTCCAGCGCCTGGTACTTGGTGGCCCCGTGGCCGCAGAGCTCGCAGGCGAAGGGCCACTTGTCCCCGTGCACCAGCATGTGGCGGTCGCGGTCCAGCTCGTTCTTGAACTTGCGCTCGCAGATGTGGCAGTCGTAGAGCAGCTGCCGCTTGCCCTCCCTGGTCATCAGGCGGAGCTCGTCCAGGGCCTCCTTGACCTTCTTGTCCTGCGGGTCGTGTGTGTCCCGGATGTGCTTGATGAGGTTCTTGACGTCTGAGTACTTCTTCTTGCAGAAGCGGCAGTGCTGCTTGATCTTCTTGTGCACCCGCTCGATGTGCACCTTGAGGTGGCCCTTGCTCAGGCAGGTGAAGGAGCAGTAGTCGCAGGCAAACTTCTCGCCGGTGTGCTTGCGCAGGTGCACGTTGAGGTTGGCCTTGATGGCGCTGGCGTAGCTGCACTGGGGGCACTTGTACGGCTTCTCGTTGGTGTGGATGCGCAGGTGGGCCTGCAGGGAGTGCTTGAACTTGAAGACCTTGTTGCAGTACTCACAGGTGAAGATTTTGAGCTGGGTGGGACCTAGCCTAGAAACAGATGACAGCGAGGTTAACACCTGGAGAACCCGAGCCTGCCTACTGGACTCATAGCAGAGAACTAAGAAGGGCGGAGGCTGGAGAATGCACACGTGCACTTGGCAAGCAGGACCAGTGGTCTGGAGTCTGTCAGGAGCTTACAGCCTAGAGGGAGAAAAGAGAGGTCAGTGCATGGTACGCAACAATGTGACGGTGTTGACTGGAATATGCTGGATCCCTAGCCTCGGTGAAGGCAGATGGGAAAACCTGACAAGGAGAAGTTTGGGTGTGGCTTGAGGAAGAAGGAGAAAAGACAACAGGGACACAGGAGAAGGAAAAGGGAAGTAGGATGTGTCACTCACACATACCTGACCACCAGCGAGGTCTGGGGCTGAGCTGTACAGATCCTGGCATCGTCTAATGGGGCAGTTTTCACGGGCCAAGCTCGGTCTGCTCATGACCCTAGATACACAGTGCTCCAGATGGCTGTGCTCATCCAGACTTGCCAAGTCACTTGACTGCAGCTGGGAGTGACCCCCTTCCCCTGTCTGCAGGTTTCCACAGGAGAGGGCCCCATCAGTCCTCACTTCCCCCCAGGAAGACAGAACCTGTGCACCTGACTGGGGAGTCTGGAAGAGGATCTGGACTCAGGAGCTGAGCTCTGCAGCTCCCTTTCTGGACTGGCTGTGTCTGCCCATGGGAAGCAGGGACACCTGTGAGCCCGGCCGGCAGGTAGGAGAGGTGGGTTGTCTCTCTGCAGCACAGAACAGGCAGCTCCGTGCCGCCTTGCACCACACGGCTGCCTCCCATGGCCCTGCCAAAGGAGATGATGTGCGGCTCTCCATCTTTATCCACTGCCAGGACTGGACCGGAGCTCAGATGGAGAAACCATGACTGTCACTCGCTGACCGCATGCATCACTTAGTAGCCAGTGACTGCTGGTTCCTGACCCCTGCCCATGTGTTCGGCAACTGTGTGAGATGCTGGGTATGTGATGAGAAAGAACATCACAGGTGCCTCATGGCTCCTCTTTCGGTCTGGGCCTGGACGTGCTGAATGAGACAGGACAGTGGCTGCTAACAGTGACTGGGTGCTCATCATATGGCCAGCTCCATGCCAACTATTTCATCCCAACCCTACGGTCCTAACACCAGCTTACGGGGGGAGACTGAGTACTTGCCCCATGCCATACAACGATAAGAGGGGTCCAGACAGACTCTGACTCTAGAGCCTGCACATCAATCCTGATCCTGTCTACACTGCCGGAAAGACCACAACACAGCCATCATGCCCCGGTGTGACCACACACACAGAGAACGGCCCTGCACAGGGCCACCCCTGAAACCTGCAAACGGCAGCTGCCCAGGTCCTGCACACGCACTGGGGACAGGAAATGGCGGGTGAACTTCCTCCCTGGCCACACTGCACCCCCCAAGGGTGCAACCAGTTTACTGAGCTGGAATTAAAGAGTCTAGAGCCAACCCTGGTCTGTGTGACTCTAAAGTTTATGCTCTACTCAAGAACACCTCAATACCCTTCCAAAAACAGGGAGAAACATCAGCAACAGGCGTGTTTGTCCACCTCCAGCGATCAGAGGTTGCTACAGCTACAGCCAGGCAAGGGAGGGTGTGGAGAGCCGCACTCGTTCACTGTAGGCCGTCAGCGGATACAAGGAGCTTGCAGGACAGCTGCTTATGTTGATTAACGTATTACGCACTCACATCCTTTGATGCAGCCAATTTCAATTCCAGCAATTTATCCCTCAGGAAGTCTTGAAGAGACATCAATCAATGCATTGTCCATCACAGCAAAGACTGGCTATATAAACTACAACAGACCCACACAATCGAAAGCACCATTTCTTAATATGTATTAAGAATGAAAGATTAATTTCAAGATATAAGTTTTTTAAAAAGTTAGAAACAGTACATTCCACGTTTGAGAAAAGTATCAAAACTGAAACAATCTACCTTAGTATATTGTGAAAACTATTAAGGCATGTGAACTCTAGAAAGAGTAAATCTGGGATACTTTAAAACATATGAGATTCTTGAACTTCCTATGACATAACTGTGTTACTTTTAAAGTAGGAGCAGGGCCAGTGTTGTGGCGTAGCAGGTTAAGCCCCAACCAGTGACGCAGGCACCCCATGTGAGAGTGGGTTCGAGTCTCGGCTTCTTGACTTCCAGTCCAGCTCTCTGCTAATTGCCTGGGAAAGCAGCATAAGATGGTCCAAGTGCTGAGGACCCTGCCACTCGGGAGAGCCAAATGGGTTCCAGCTCCTGACTTCCACTGGGATGACACCAGCTGGGGAGTGAACCAGCTGATGGAAGATCTCTCCCTCTCTCTCTGTTTTTAAGTAATGTATCCTTTACAAATAGGAGAGAAATAAAGATGATTTTATTATTATACTATGTGCCGCTATAAAGCTCAGCAAATCTGAGGCCACATTTACACTTCTTTTGATTAAGGTTGAAGACACATTTGCTTGGGGCCGGCGTTGTGACATAGCAGGTAAAGCCACCACGTGCAATGCCGGCATCCCATATGGGTGCCAGTTCCTGTCCCGGCTGCTCCTCTTCTGATCCAGCTCTCTGCTAATGGCTGGGAAAGCTGCAGAGGATGACCCAAGTACCTGGGCTCATGCCACCCACGTGGGAAATCTGGAGGAAGCTCCTGGCTTCTACCCAGCCCTGGCCATTGCAACCATTTGGGTAGTGAACCAGTAGACAGAAGATCTCTCTCCCTCTCTCTCTGTAACTTTGCCTTTCAAATGAACAAATCTTAAAAAAAATAAGAGTTACATCTGCTTAAGTAAAAGGGTCTACCTCCATTAGCCAACTTCTGCTTGGCGTATTGATGTGCCCAGTTTTCAAGCTCAGCCAACACAGTAAGGGCTGTAACAGACCGGCTTATTCTGCTGTGGAATCAAGAAGTCAATATGCTTTACAAACAGGCTACGAACAGCACACAGGTCAACGAACGCAATGACACTCCTTGTGCTCTGGGGAGGCCGCTTGTGTCCCAACTCTGGCTGCAGTGACACAGAACGAAACACTTTACCTGCTCGACTTCATCGGCTGCTCGTACGGCGTCTGCTGAATGGCATATTCCTGGTACCCTCTCCGAGGCACCAGGTCTGCTGCCGTGGTCTCAGGATTCGCAGCTCCTGTTTCGGGGGGACCTGCTTCCACCGGAACAATCTTGGTAGTACCTGAGATTGATGCACAAAGCACTGCTTACTGACTCGATCCCTACCTGATCTGGGCCCTGACGGCCACCACCCCAGCACACGGCCGTGCTCAGCAAGACTTTTCTTTACTACAAGAGACCCCCACAAGACAGTACATTTTTCTTCAGCTCACGCATGTAACCTCTGTGTGAGTGTATGTGTGTGTGTGCACATGTGTGCACGTGAAGGGGGTGAGGCCAAGTGGCATATTTCCTTTGATCTTATTAAACAAAAACATATTCACATATATGCACCCATATCATATACACATGGATGGCCTTGCAAGGTTCTATACACGGAGTAGAGGAAACGGATGTCAACAGGACACTGGGCTGTCTGGGGTCCAACCCCAAATACACGAGTGCCTTGAGATCTCAAGGTGCCTGGTTCTAAACCATGAAACGGTCTGCAGTGGAAAGCCTCACCTGTAACTCTGCAATTGTACGAAGTGAGAAGAAGGACGCCCTCTCCTAGCAGTGGACCCTGCATACCTAGGTGTGTGTAACACGTGCGCAAAACAAAGACCCCAATGTCTCTTTGTTCCTGGAATAGCAAAGAGAATTAACCCCACTTGTTGCCCTCACTACAGAAACCTCAAAATGCCTCCACTGACTTTCCAGAACATTTGTGGGGTGGTGCCTGTCTGGGTACCATCGAGAACAGGAAACTCTCTTCTGGGACTTGCGTTTTTTAAAACAATACTGTTCTCCCATGAGTGGGGCAGACAAATGCTTTCCAGAAAGTTCTATTCATATGATTGTATATGATTTACTCTCTACTGATCACCTCACCCAGCAGTGAAGTATAAAAGAAGAATATCTTTAATAATGAATTGCTATGAGACAAGTAAATAGTTGCCAAAAAGGCTGAAGCTGTTCTAAAAATCCTAAATAATATTTAAAGTTTTACCTGATGGCTATTGCCCCAAATGGATACAAAAGAAAGTTACTGGATTTTGAAATCGATCATAAACTGCTTCTGACTGAAGAGCCCCATCCTGGAAGAGACTTTTAATAAAAGGTAGTACAAAAACAGTTTGGCACGTGCTCAATCGGACTTGCCCCTAATGGTAGAGCTAGAAACGTGCCAGGGGATTCCAATTCAATCCCATCAAGGTGGCATGTACCATTGCCATCTCACTAGTCAAAGTGATCAGTTTAAGTTCATAATTGATCATAATGATAGGATTAAGTGTCAAAGGGATCACATAAACAAGACTACTGTCTGCTAATAAAAACTGATAGAATTAAAAAGGAGAGAATGATCCAACATGGGAAGTGGGATACACAGCAGACTCATAGAATGACAGATGTCCTAAACAGCACTCTGGCCTCAGAATCAGCCCTTAAGGCATTCGGATCTGGATAAAAAGCCCATGAACGGGCCATCAAACCATCAAAGAATGAGGTACCTATCTCTGAATGGAGGAGAGAACTTCCACTTTGACTATGGCCTTGTCTAAATAAGATCGGAGCTGGTGAACTCAAGAGGCTTCCATAGCCTTGGCAACTCATGACAAGAGCCTCAGGTGATTACTGACGTCATAAATAAGAGTGTCAATTGTTAAATCAACAACAGAAGTCACTGTGCACTTACTCCCCATGTAGGATCTCTGTCCTTAATGTGTTGTACTATGCAAATTAATGGTAAAACAACTACACAAACAGTACTTTATACTTTGTGTATCTGTGTGGGTGCAAACTGTTGAAATCTTTACTTAGTATATACTAAGTTGATCTATATATAAAGATAATTGAAAATGAATCTTGATGAAGAATGGGATGGGAGAGGGAGTGGGAGATGGGATGGTTGTGGGTGGGAGGGAGGTTATGGAGGAAAAGCCGCTATAAACCAAAAGTTGTACTTTGGAAATTTATATTTATTAAATAAAAGCTGAAAAAAAAGGTAGTACAAATAGATAGAATTAAAAAGGAGAGAATGTACTAACATAGGAAGCAATCCACACAGCAGATTCATAGAATGACAAATGCCCTAAACAGCACTCTGACCTCAGAATCAGCCCTTAAGGCATTTGGATCTGGCTGAAAAGCCCATGAGAGCATCTCAAGCATGGAAAGCCAAGACACTGTGGCAAAAAATGTTCTGCATGAAGGATCTCTGTGAGTGAGATCCCAGTGGAAAGAAGGGGCCATCAAAGAAGGAGGTACTTTCTCTGAAGGGAGGAGAGAACTTCCAGTTTGCTTATGGCCTTGTCTAAATAGTGATGGTGTTTGTGAACTCAAAAGGCTTCCATAGCCTTGGCAGTTCATGTCAAGAGCCTCAGGTGATCACTGACATAAATAAGAGTGTCAATTGTTAACAACAGGACGCACTGTGCACTTGTTCCCCACGTAGGACCTCTGTCCTTAATGAGTTGTACTATGTAATTAACTATAAAACTTGTTTTCAAACAGTACTTTATACTTTGTATGTGTGTGTATGGGTGCAAATTGTTGAAATCTGTACTTAGTATATGAGTTGATCTTCTGTATATAAAGTTAATTAAAAATGAATCTTAATGAAGAATGGGATGGGAGAGGGAGTAGGAGGTGGGACAGAAGTGGGGTGGGAAGACGGGTATTGGGGGGGAAGAACCACCATATTCCAAAAGCTGTACCTATGAAATTTGTATTCATTAAATAAAAGCTTTCTTTTTTTTTTTTTAAACTTTTATTTAATGCATATAAATTTCCAAAGTACGACTTATGGATTACAATGGCTTCCCCCCCATACCGTCCCTCCCACCCACAACCCTCCCCTTTCCCACTCCCTCTCCCCTTCCATTCACATCAAGATTCATTTTCGATTATCTTAATATACAGAAGATCAGCTTAGTATACATTAAGTATGGATTTCAACAGTTTTTCTTTAAAAAATAGTATAACTTATCTACCAGGTATTCGTGCAACACGAAATTGGAGACAGAAATTTCCAGCATTATAAAATACCTGGTGAACCCACTAAAAATACAAAAGGAGTTAGGCAGAGTCAGCCTGGGCCGAGGGGGCTCACACAGAGGAGGACAGCTGAGCAGTGGGGGAGGGGCAGAGACTAGCAGGGCCAGCAGGGCTCGCCGCCTCCTCTGTGAGCCACCCCAACAGCCCTGGCTATGTGGGTCTGCCATGGTTCCAACGTAACCGGGCACCAAGTAGGGGGCCACCAGTGGATGAACCCCTGGGGCCACAGGCTGGAGTGAGAACTTGGACGACGCCGTCGCACCGCCCACGGCTGACACGGCCCCACAGTGACACTTCCACGTCCCGCCTGCTGAGGTCACCTGGAATGGCTTCATGCGCAGTTAGGACCACACTGATGATGGGCTTCTTTGCTCCGGAAGGCTGCCCGGCCTCCTTTCCTGAGATCTTCTGCACTTTCTCTGTTTTCTGTGCCCGGGGTCTCTTCGGGGCCTTGTCGCGATCATCTTCCTTATGCTTCTTTTCCAGCTCAAGATCTGACTCATTACCTAGGGAGTAAGCAGCAAGAGGTATAAAATACCCTTTGTGTCAGTGACAGGGAGTGGGTGTGACTCTCCTTTGGGCTGGTGATAGAGGAAACAGATGGATACAAGCCCCTCCCTTGCTGGTCCACAGTCCGCCACAGTCTTGCTGCACGGCCCCCTCTGGCTCTTCCCTCACTCAATGCGACACACAGTCAGTGCACCCAGCCACAGGCTACACTCAGGGCCCCGGAACACAGGAGCACACTGCCAGAAAAAGCAGACGTGGCGTCTTGTCTTGTTCTCACAAAGCCTCAGAGTCCTCAAAAGCATTAGGTAGCAACACCGCAAGGAAGATAAACTCCAAGGTTTACAGCCTAAGAAAGAAACCACTCCCTCACTTATGAGTGTGTGCCAGGCCTGGTGGCAGGAGCAGGAGAATGCTGGATCTGGCCCCGGGGGCCCTGCAGTCCGGGACAGTCCACTGTGAGCCCAGGGGATGAGAGGGGGCTCCAGACGATTCCAGAAGGGACAGCAGATTCTACTCGAGAGGTCAGGAGGGCTTCCTGGGAGGGAACTCATATCTAAAAAACACAGTTAGTACAAGAGTGGCTGGGGTTATGCGGCAGAGGTAGCTGCTGTCCAAAACAGCAGGATTCCAGTCTAATGTGGGGCAGCAAAGACCAGGAGGAAACTACTGGGTACAAAGCTGTGGGGAAGCAGTGAGGCAGAAATAAAACTGGGAAAGGGAGTAAGACAGAGCCAGCCCCAGAGGGCCCTGCATGCCCACGAGGTGTCTGGGAGTAAGACAGAGCCAGCCCCAGAGAGCTCTGCATGCCCACGAGGTGTCTGGGAGTAAGACAGAGCCAGCCCCAGAGGGCCCTGCATGCCCACGAGGTGTCTGGGAGTAAGACAGAGCCAGCCCCAGAGGGCCCTGCATGCCCACGAGGTGTCTGGGAGTAAGACAGAGCCAGCCCCAGAGGGCCCTGCATGCCCACGAGGTGTCTGGGAGTAAGACAGAGCCAGCCCCAGAGGGCCCTGCATGCCCACGAGGTGTCTGGGAGTAAGACAGAGCCAGCCCCAGAGGAACCTGCATGCCCACGAGGTGTCTGGGAGTAAGACAGAGCCAGCCCCAGAGGGCCCTGCATGCCCACGAGGTGTCTGGGAGCTTCCTTGGCAGAGTGCCAGGGCACTGGACTCCAAGGCTCCTGGAGGAAGCCTGGGCGCGTAGTGGGAGAAGCTGCTGGCGTTGCACGGATGGAGCAGAGGCCCAGCTCTTGCTGAGGACGTCCTGCCAAGTGGCGCGACAGCCACGTCTTCTGACCATCAAAGGAAAAACTGCAAATCCAGACTCTTACAGGCTCCAACCTTAAATTTCTTGTAACAGTGGGGGAGCCCACTGTCTCTGGGGAGACTTGCAGGCTCCCATCCGCAGCCCTTGGAAGGCAATGGTGAGCCACTGACGCAGTCTAAGCTGGGGAAAGGCTGCACAGCATCTGGGCTTTAAGTCTGTGCCACTGTTGTGCAGGAGAAACCGAGTGGGTTCAGAGCACCCAGTGCAGAGTGACGGCGTGGGCCCCAGACAGGGCATCAGCCCAAAGGTGAGAAACGTGTATGTGAAGGTGAAGAACGAAGGCCTGTGCGCTGCTCCAGGTTTTTACAGGAGCGGGAACACAGGGAAGGGAGAAAGACAGCTCTCGCTGTCTTAGAACCACAGCCGCGCTCTCTGAAACAAGATGCTTAAGAATCCCCTCGTCACGGTGCCTGGCAGGTGCACAGGGAGGGACTCCACAGAGCGCTGCACCAGACATGAATGGGCAGTGGGTGGGCAGGGGCAGGTCAGGCGGGGTTCAGAAAGCCACTATCCAGGAGCTGAAATCAGAGCCAGGGAGAGGCCAGAGGAATGGGAGAGAGCAGACAGAGACAGCCCCAGGCAGCCCGGTCAGTCTGCGCTCCTGTGCTCCATGGGATCAAGTCGGCCTCCCCAGGCCCACACAGAGAGGGTCAGGGATGTCCAGAGGGAAAAGATAAAAGGAGAAGGTGATGATCCCGGGGAAGGCGTGCGCTCAAGATGAGGCAAGGGAACACCTGGCTGGGGCTCAGACAGTCCAGACACACAGCCTGCTTCTCCACACCCCCTAGGCGAGGGCTTTGCGGTGCCTGCCCTGTCGGCCAGGGGCCAGGATTGCATTCAGACCTAGTGGAGCAGGGCAGTGCTGGCTGGAAAGGGACCTTCAGTGTCCCTTCACACCAGGTGAAGGGGAAAATGAACAGAGGAGGTCGCTGAGTCACACAGAACCGAACGTCACTCCCCGAAGCCGAGGCAGAACTCCAGGCCCACACCTAAAGGACAGGAGACTCACAGGGCAGAGGATCAACCAAAAACAGGAGTGCTGTGTGCGTGAGGCTGGACAGCACCACGCCCAACAGCAGTTTTTGCCTTACTTCTGTTTTTTTTAGTGACTACAATAAAAACTTTCAAGAGGTCTACAAATTGCCTAAATTACAGAAATGCTTTGTGCGCCCTACATGTTGGACAACCCACATGCACAGAGACCTGAGCGTAACACATGGAATGTTATAAAAAGACAGAAACAGCATCTTACAGGGCTTCTTGCTTGAAAATGATGCTTCACTTTATAACAGAATTCACCACGAGATACAACTCGATATGTGGGTGATAAGCCAGGAATAGATATGTGCTCTCTCACTCGCTCTCGTGCTCGCTCTCTCTCTCTCTCTCTCTCTCTCACACACACACACACACGCACGTACACAAGAAGGACCTCAGAATCAGATCTTGCCAAAAGCTTAACCCAGGTTAACAGCGCAGATCAACAGCAAACAGGCACGCACCCAAGACAGGCAGCATCCATAGGAAGCAGCGGAAGAGACCCCCACGCTCCGCAGGGGATAAACTGGATGTCAACTCTGTTTGAGCATCGCGTGTCAGGTGCACACTGCAGAACCAGGCATGTGGGGATGGGGGGTGAGTAGCTGAGGGTCTGGAAGCCACACACCAGTGCCAAGAGGGGGGCAAGCAAGCTGGCAGCAGAAGAACACGTCCCAGAGGTCGTCTCCCCACTGAGACACTGGTTTGCACAGCAACTCACCAAAGTCACAAGAGCTATGGAAGCCAGGCAAGAGACCACAGTGCCTGGTTTTAGTTTAATAACAAGAAAAGGTGGGGCCGGTGTTGTGCCACAGTAGGTTGAGCCTCTGCCTATGACACTGGCATCTCTTTTGGGTGTTGGTTCCTGTCCCGGTTGCACCTCTTCTGATCCAGCTCTCTGTTATGGCCTGGGAAAGCAGTGAAGATGGCCCAAGTGCTTGGGCCCCTGCACCCACTTAGGAGACCCAAGGAAGCTCCTAGCTCCCAGCTTCGGGTCAGTCCAGTTCCAGCTATAACAGTCATTTGGGGAGTGAACCAGCAGATGGAAGACCTCTCTCTCTCTCTGTCTCTCCCTTTTTCTGTCTGTAACTCTACCTCTCAAAGAAATAAATAAAATCTTTTTTTAATTAATTTATTTTTTTGACAGGCAGAGTTAGGCAGTGAGAGAGAGACAGAGAGAAAGGTCTTCCTTTTTCCATTGGTTCATCCCCAAGTAGCTGCTACGGCCGGTGCGTTGCGGCCCGCGCACTGCGCCGATCTGAAGCCAAGAGCCAGGTGCTTCTCCTGGTCTCCCATGGGGTGCAGGGCCCAAGCACTTGGGCCATCCTCCACTGTACTCCCAGGCCACAGCAGAGAGCAGGCCTGGAAGAGGGGCAACCAGGGCAGAATCCGGTGCCCCGACCGGGACTAGAATCCGGTGTGCCGGCGCCACAGGCGGAGGATTAGCCTAGTGAGCCACAGCGCCGGCCAAATGAAATCTTAAAACAGAAAAAGAGAGAGAGAAGATGCACTGAAGAAGGCAGGACAGAGAAAGCTGCCGCTCACCCCTTTCCCAGCCCCGGGGAGCACAGCCTGAAAGGATACTCCCGTGAGGGGGGAGGGGGACTGAGTTCACTCCTCAGACTCCAGACCAGGGCCAGGCCTGCTATGCTGAAACCTAGATGCAGACAGGGCCCCACAACCTCCAGTCCCAGGCCACACCTGCAGACTGGCCCCTCAACCCTCCTGAGCCAAGCGGACCACCCCACCTCCCCTCTCCTCACTGCTGCAGACAGTGGAGCAAGACTTCAGCCACTGCAGGGTAGGTGAGAGTGAGCCAGGGTTTTGCACTGGAGCGCAGTATCAGCACCGCCGTGGTGAGACGCAGCACCAGACGGCCCCTCCCACAGGCTGGACTCCCAGACAGCTCCAGAACTGCTCTAGCTCCAGTGGAGACCTGAGACGCAGCACCAGACGGCCCCTCCCACAGGCTGGACTCCCAGACAGCTCCAGAACTGCTCTAGCTCCAGTGGAGACCTGGACCCTGGCAGAACAGGTGGATGCTGCATCACCCCCAGCCTCTCGAGAGCTTGCTATGCTGCTGCAGCACAGAGCAGGGCCCTGTGCAACCCAGGGCAAACTCGGGTGTGAGCCAGCTTAATGCTGGCCTGGGCAGCCAAGGGACTGCCCTCCCCACCCCTTCCCCAACTGCAGGTTATGGCAGGAAGCAAGTTTTCAGCCACTGGGGTGGGCAGCAAAGTGAGCACAGGACTGTCGTGGACCTGGTAAGACCACCACTGAGTAAATACCAACAGTGCTTGTTCCCTCAGTCAGTGGACAAACCAGCACCTAAAGATACTATCTTTGTGAAAAAGCCTTTTAGCACTAGAGCTGCCCTGGTCCTAAGGGGAGACCTGTGGCCCCAGGCCACTGGGCTAACATCCTGGCCAGCATCACCTGTGCCTAGCAGCAGCAGCCGTGGGCTGCAAGCCCACCTCAGCAGCAGGTGGAGTCCTAGCAAAGTGAGCCTTGGCCATGCCCTGTGCTGTGCTTGTCTTGGGAGGCTGTGGTCTCTGGCTGTGACCTGGCATCACAGGGCAGGTGGCCACAAGTCTGCTCATCCCATCCATGGCCCAGTGCTAGGCAACATAACACT